ATGGAAATATAAAAGCTTTCATAAACAGAGTTGGAGTATCATCTGGGAGTAAAGAGAGTAATTTCTTTGCAATAGTTGCAGTATTACTTTGAGGATGACTCAACAGTGTATGTAAAGTTATCTAAATTTTCCAGTTGATCTGGCAGCTACAGGCATGTGTCCAGTCATAAGCCTGTTTCTCTAACCTCCAGGCGCCCACCAGGCTCGCCTGTCGCCTTCCAGACCCTCTGAGGAGGCCTCTCTCCCCCACTGGCACAAAAGCCACTGTGATTAGTCCTGTTTCTTTTGGCCTCAGTTCAAAATATGCCACTTACACACATGCATGCAGACACAAGGCCAGTTTTATTGGCTGTTTACACACACGCATTGATTGGTAGAGTACTGACACGTAGGGCGTGTCGAGGCCACCTCATTATCTCGGCAGACATTTACTTTGCTGTCATCCAGTATCAAAGTGCGGCCTGCGCTGAGACTGAGCTGTCTGAGATGGCCGCACAGCTAATCAATTGCAGTTCATCCCCACTGTGTGCGCATGCTGGACTCTCACTGGTGAGCAAATCCTGCTGCTCATTATAGTGACAACTGATAAGAGGGAGACTGAGTGGGAGAAAAGAGAGACACAATCCTCTGTGTTGCCTGGATAATTTAGGAAAGGTTATGGAATCGATGTCTGGCCATCACTCTCGTGCTCTAAATCACGGCTGCTGGCTTTGCATGGGCGCATTCCAATAAGATCTGATTATAGCCACTGCGGCTGCAATTAAAAATCAGATGACAGCTCTCTGTGGCCGGCATGCTGCTCAGACCAGCCAGAATACTGCGGGGGGGGGGGGGCTGCTGTCAACAGTACATTGTTCACTATCATTCTTTCCTATCTAAATGTGCCTCATGCAAGTTGAAGCAATAGTTTGGACATTTTGAGCAAAATAATTGCTTCATATAGGATCTCATAATGTTTTATAAGTTTGATATGATTCCTACAGGAGCAAAAACACTTAGTCAAGCCTGGCTCTGTCCAGAGGTAACGCAATTTGAATATAAATACCAGAACCTCTAAAGATCACTAATTAATGTGTTTTATTTTGTGTTTTTTATTCGTACAAAAAACAAAGTGTAAAAAGGTCAAGTTAGGGTTTTTTAGCAAGGAATATTTGCTGGATTATTTATTGGCCAGATGCTGTTGCCAGGCAACAAGTGAAACACCAGGAAGTTACTGCTCCTGGCAAGGAAATACAGTATTTATCTATGTGCGTTCTTGTACCGTAAGCCAAGTATCCCTGCATGCATTACACATCAACTAGGACTAAAGGTAGAGAATTTGAGCAACACTCAAAACTGTTGACTGTTGTTTCATTTTCATCCTAGGACTTTATTGCATTACTAAATTAAGTTTTGAATGTCTTGCTCGACCATTTTCGAACTTTGTCATCTCAGGGAGTACAGTCTTACCACGGCAAGCCGTTTGGATTTGATGTCTCTGAAATGACACAAGAGAGGATACAGCGTCATTTTGAAGCCTGTTTGGATGGAGAAACAAGTAATATTGTGTTTATCAGTGAGCTTTAGAGGTGCTGGTAGGAGGAGATTCTTACATTTGATAAAACATAGCCAGGCTAACTATTTCTCCCTGTGCCCAGTCTTTATGCTAAGCTGAGCTAACCAGTAGCTGCCTCCAGCTTTATATTTGCTGTACAGATACGACAGTGATATAGATAGTAGATAGTATACTTGTGACAAACAAATAAGATTATTTTCCAAAATGTGTGAGCATTCCTTTATGGGATGTTTGTGTAGATTAATTCAGAATGTCTTTGAAATCCTGTCCAAACCTGTAAAACAAGAAAATGCTCATTTGTTTGCTGCTTTTGTTTTTCAAACAGAAACTGGACTAACACTGCAGACAGGTGAGAGCTGAAAGACAAACGAGGCACTTTCTGTGTTCATAATGAAGCAGTTTTTTTCTGCCTGTTCCTCTTGGCTACATGAATGAAAAGCAACACGAGCATATGCTGAGATTTGTCTCAACACGGTGAAGGCTCAAGGGTAGATTCGAGGGGCGAGATGAGATTAGGATTGCTGTTGTTTATTTCCAAGCTTAGAAACAGGAGCAGAGGGGCCTTTGGCAGAAATATCACATTATGTCTTCAGTTACAGTTTTGCTTTGAATGTGCCCAAAGTGGGATTCTCTCTTATATTACATTTTAGTGCTGCAGGCGAATATCATTGAGGACAAACTCCTGCTTAAAGACATGCCATTTATTATGCTCTGAACAAAGCTGCCTGATCTTTTGCTGTGCAGTATAATCTTTCATACTGTGGTTCTGCAGACTCAGCAAACATTTAACAGAAGGCAACAAGCCAAGTAAACCCGAACAAGTGCAAACTTTTCACTGTGTGCTACAATGATGCTTTGAACTGATTGAATGACATGAAGGAATAGTTCAGCATTTTGGGAAATAAGCTTATTTTCTTCTTTAGAGGATCAATATCAATCTTACGGAGTCAGGAGTTGAACTCAGGATGTGGTTACCCTAGCTTAACGTGCAGGGGGGAAGCAAGGGAAAAACAGCTACTGTGGCTCTGTCCAAAATTTAAACTCCTGACTACAACTTTAAATCTCACCAATGAACAGAAGAAGTCTTTATGGGGAAATTCTTTTTTCACTCAGTTTTTACACACGGAGACACACACACACTCACACACACACAGGCTCGAAATACAATCATACACACAGGGCTTATAGACATGCAAATGTTAATAGATGGTGGAATGTTGGGCTGAGGGGGCACATATTTTACACTTATATATATAGTATATAGGTATAGCCAGATCTTTCCTATTAGTGTGACCAGGTTAGACCACAGACAATTCACGAATTACTGTTACTATTACTAGCTGGGTCTCTAATATAGGCCATTGTTTATTTCCAGTTGACTAAACTGTTTATGAGAAGAGTCTTAGTCGACCTACTTTTCATTAGTCGGATACTAACACAAATAGCATCAAACTTAGACCTGTGCTAACTGTACTAGCTGCTGCCACGAGCTTGTTACCAGTCCTATTAGCGGACCGGGGAGGTTTGTTTACACCACTAGGAGTAGGGCCAGAATGAGCACAACGGGTTCAGGTAGGGACTGGAGGTGTAGTTTAGGAGTGGAGGTGTAGGAGTTTGTAGTTTGTAGTTGATTTATAAGTAGCATTATATATCATCCATCGTCCAAGTCTGCAAATATTTGTTTTTGTGGAATTTGAAGTTATTTATAATGTGTTTTGAACAACGAGACTGTGTGATCATTTTTTAATTCCTTTCAGCTAACTTATTGGGTCAGTGTAGTGATGCTTAACATTCAGCTT